AAAAAGTGTAACCTGATAGAATTAGATGAACTTGACCTACACCTATGGAAGGAGTAGCTCAAAAGAGGAACAAATCTTTGCAGCAGGGATCATTCTCACCTCCTCAATACACAGAGTAGACAGGGATAGGCAACTTGGACATGGACTATCCAAAATGGGGGTGCTATAAAGGCAAGAAGTGACTGGCTTATAAGCTTTCAAAAGGGAACCTAGATCCAGAGAGTGTGGAGCAAGGTAGAATCTCCACTGAGTAGTATCCATTCTGTCTAGGTGGGACTGACTAAAGGAAATGCTGATAGGTCTCTTGTGATGCAAGGGTGAATGATTGTGAAGGTTGTAAATGTAAAAGTGGGCATTTTGTGGCAAGGAGGGGAGTGATTGACTTTGCAGGCTGGGAGCAGAGGTCCCTGGAACAATGAAGGGAGAAGAGCGGAGAGCGGAACCCTACCCAGAGAGGCAACGATCCCCGAGATGGAGGCAGAGGACTCAGGACCCACAGAGGAAGAGGGGCTGTGTGCTGATGACTGGAGGGGGTGGGGAGAGCAGGCTTATAGGATGCACCCTTTCGTTGATTGATGTTGCATGGAGGGGATTGTAACTATGGCAATGAAACAATATACGATGAGTGTAAAACTAATGTTCTCCCGTGTAAAGTGTCACATAATTCACAATAACACTTAAAAAATATATATATATCCCTTTTTGATTAATGTCCTCCAGGTAGCACGGTGGGCTCTGTACAACAAGCACTAGATTATGAGCTACAAGATTGGTAATTGAGTCCAGCAGTCACTCCACAGGAGAAAGATGAGGCTTTCTGCTCCTAAAAAGATGAATAACTTCAGACGTCCTATACAGAGTCACTATGAGTCGGAACTGATTTGCTGGCCCTTGACAAACAACAATAGATGCTCTTCTCGTGCATCCATGTTATGCAGTGTTTTGCAGATTCATCATTATTTTTCAGTGTTGCATAATATTCCGTTTCATGTATGTAGCAAAGTTTACTACAACCATTACTCTACTGGTGGGCATTTAGGCTATCTCCATTTTTTTTTTTTTTTTTGCTATTAGGTGTAATGCTGCAGTGAACATGGGTGTGCAAATATTTATTCATGTTTGAGCCCATAGATGCTCTTATTTCTTGCGAATCGGGCTGCTAACCTCAAGGTCAGCAGTTCAAAACTACCAGCTGCTCTGCAGGAGAAAGATGAGGCTTTTTGCAACCGTAAAGATTTACAGCCTCGAAAACCCTGTACAGGATTGCTATGAGTCAGAACCGACTCCACAGCACATAACCACCACCACGGCACATAACCACCACCACCACCATATACCAAGTAGAGAGATTACTGGATCATATAATATTTCTATCTCCAAGCTTTTGAGAACGTGCCTTACCATTTTCCACAGTGATTGCACCATTTTACAGTCCCTCCAGCAATATAGGTGGGTCCCATACTCTTCACACCTTTAGCAACATTTGTTGTTTTCTGTTTTATTAAACTTTGCTGTTAATGCTGGGATAAGATGATAGCTTACGATGGCACCATAGGATAAACACTCGACCTCAAGGTTGATTTGAACCACAAGGCCAGCATTTTAAACTTACCAGTTGCTCCTTAGGAACCCTAAGCAGGGTGCTATGTATCTGAATCGACTCGATGGCACTTAACAGCAACAACAGTGACTGATAATTGTGAGCATTTCTTCATATGTTTGTTTACCACAAAAAAGTATTTGGTGAAGTGTTTATATCCTCTGCCCATTTAAAAAATGGATTATTTGTCTTCTTATGGAGCCATTGAAATGTTATATGAAATACACAGTAATCCCTTGTCTGATATCTCATTGCCAAAAATTTATTTCCCAGTGTGTGGTTTCTCTTTTTATTTTTTTGGTGAAATTTTTGATGTACATAAATGTCAAATTTTTAGGAGGAGCCAGTCATTTATTTTGTCTTCTGCTGTTTGTGTATTTTCAATTATGTTTGATAATGTATTTATGCCATGACTCGGAACATCTAAGTTTATCCCTATGTTTTTCATTGGTGATTTCTGTTGTCTGGGTTTTACATTTAGGTCTTTAATTCATGTTGAGTTAGTTTTTGTATTCTGTGAGACATGGGTCTTGTTTTACTCTTCTGCAAATGCATTTTGAGTTTTGCCAACACCATTTGTTGAATGCCTTTATTTCCTTTTTCTTGTCTTATAGCTCTGAGTCAGACTTCCAGTACAATACTGAGTAAGAGTGTTGATAAGAGTACCCTTGACTGGTTCCAGTTTCAAAGGGGAATGGCTTCAGTTTCTCTCTGTTGAGAGTGATGCTGGAAGTTGGGTTTGTATGTTGTTGTTGGATGCCATCGAGTTGGTACTGACTCATAGCGACCCTATGTACAACAGAGCAAACACTGCCTGGTCCTAGGCCAACCTCACAATCATTACCATGTTTGAGTCCATAGATGCTGCTACTTGGCCAATCTATCTTGCTGGGGATCTTCCTCTTTTTCTCTGACCTTCCACCTACCAACCATGATAACCTTCTCCAGTGACTGGTCCCTCCTGACAACATGTCCGAAGTATGACAGATGAAGTTTGGCCATCCCAGCTTCCAAAGAGCACTCTGGCTGCACTTCTTCCAACACAG